CGTGGTGTGTGTGCGGTTGATGTGTCTGTGTTGTGCGCTCGGTGTGTTGTGTGTACGGTCATTGTGCTCGGTGTGTGTCTCCGTGTTGTGTGTACGGTCGGTGTGTCTGTGTTGTGTGCTCGGTGTGTTGTGTGTACGGTCATTGTGCTCGGTGTGTGCCTCCGTGTTGTGTGTACGGTCGGTGTGTCTGTGTTGTGCGCTCGGTGTGTTGTGTGTACGGTCAGTGTGCTCGGTGTGTGTCTCCGTGTTGTGTGTATGGTCGGTGTGTCCGTGTTGTGTGCTCAGTATAAGGTCGCTGTGCTCTGTATGTGTATACACAGGATGTATAATCAGCGGCTGGGACATGGCCCGTACATTGATGGTGTCACACACACACACACACACACACACACACACACACACACACACACACGTGTTCTCATTCCATGTGATCCGTGTATCAGAATAATTCTCACTCATAATTCTTCTTTTCCCCTTTTCTGTCCTTTTGTATGTCTCGGTGCTGCTGATCTCCTGCAGCCTCTTTGCAGCCCCCGTACATACATGTTCTCCCGCAATGGCTGCACTTCCTGTTCCCTGATGATGACAGCGCTGGATGTGAGCTGTGTGTGTGGAATATGATCGTTACATACAGTCACATGAGTACACTGCGTGCAGACTGATTACAGGCAGGACTCGATTCGTTTTATACGAGGGCCAGTCAAAACGTAACACCTCCATGTCTGTCATGTGACATCTATTGAAGTGACTTCATGTCCCATGTTGTAGGGGTGTCCTCACATGTAGGGGCGTCCTCACATGGTATAGTGGTGTCCTCACATGGTATAGGGGTGTCCCCACATGGTATAGGGGCGTCCTCGCATGTAGTAGGGGCGTCCTCACATGGTATAGGGGCGTCCTCGCATGTAGTAGGGGCGTCCTCACATGGTATAGGGGCGTCCTCGCATGTAGTAGGGGCGTCCTCACATGGTATAGGGGCGTCCTCGCATGTAGTAGGGGCGTCCTCACATGGTATAGGGGCGTCCTCGCATGTAGTAGGGGCGTCCTCACATGGTATAGGGGCGTCCTCGCATGTAGTAGGGGCGTCCTCACATGGTATAGGGGCGTCCTCGCATGTAGTAGGGGCGTCCTCACATGGTATAGGGGCGTCCTCGCATGTAGTAGGGGCGTCCTCACATGGTATAGGGGCGTCCTCGCATGTAGTAGGGGCGTCCTCACATGGTATAGGGGCGTCCTCGCATGTAGTAGGGGCGTCCTCACATGGTATAGGGGCGTCCTCGCATGTAGTAGGGGCGTCCTCACATGGTATAGGGGCGTCCTCGCATGTAGTAGGGGCGTCCTCACATGGTATAGGGGCGTCCTCGCATGTAGTAGGGGCGTCCTCACATGGTATAGGGGCGTCCTCGCATGTAGTAGGGGCGTCCTCACATGGTATAGGGGCGTCCTCGCATGTAGTAGGGGCGTCCTCACATGGTATAGGGGCGTCCTCGCATGTAGTAGGGGCGTCCTCACATGGTATAGGGGCGTCCTCGCATGTAGTAGGGGCGTCCTCACATGGTATAGGGGCGTCCTCGCATGTAGTAGGGGCGTCCTCACATGGTATAGGGGCGTCCTCGCATGTAGTAGGGGCGTCCTCACATGGTATAGGGGCGTCCTCGCATGTAGTAGGGGCGTCCTCACATGGTATAGGGGCGTCCTCGCATGTAGTAGGGGCGTCCTCACATGGTATAGGGGCGTCCTCGCATGTAGTAGGGGCGTCCTCACATGGTATAGGGGCGTCCTCGCATGTAGTAGGGGCGTCCTCACATGGTATAGGGGCGTCCTCGCATGTAGTAGGGGCGTCCTCACATGGTATAGGGGCGTCCTCGCATGTAGTAGGGGCGTCCTCACATGGTATAGGGGCGTCCTCGCATGTAGTAGGGGCGTCCTCACATGGTATAGGGGCGTCCTCGCATGTAGTAGGGGCGTCCTCACATGGTATAGGGGCGTCCTCGCATGTAGTAGGGGCGTCCTCACATGGTATAGGGGCGTCCTCGCATGTAGTAGGGGCGTCCTCACATGGTATAGGGGCGTCCTCGCATGTAGTAGGGGCGTCCTCACATGGTATAGGGGCGTCCTCGCATGTAGTAGGGGCGTCCTCACATGGTATAGGGGCGTCCTCGCATGTAGTAGGGGCGTCCTCACATGGTATAGGGGCGTCCTCGCATGTAGTAGGGGCGTCCTCGCGTGTTGTAGGGGCGGCCTCGCATGTTGTAGGGGCGTCCTCGCGTGGTGTAGGGGCATCCTCACATGTAGGGGTGTCCCCACATGGTATAGGGGCGTCCTCGCATGTAGTAGGGGCGTCCTCACATGTAGGGGCATCCTCACATGGTATAGGGGCGTCCTCACATGTAGGGGTGTCCTCAGATGTAGTAGGGGCGTCCTCACATGGTATAGGGGCGTCCTCGCATGTAGTAGGGGCGTCCTCACATGTAGGGGCATCCTCACATGGTATAGGGGCGTCCTCACATGTAGGGGTGTCCTCAGATGTAGTAGGGGCGTCCCCACATGGTATAGGGGCGGCCTCGCATGTAGTAGGGACGGCCTCGCATGTAGTAGGGGCGTCCTCACATGGTATAGGGGCGTCCTCACATGTAGGGGGGTCCTCAGATGTTGTAGGGGCGTCCTCAGATGTTGTAGGGGCGTCCTCAGATGTTGTAGGGGCGTCCTCGCGTGGTGTAGGGGCGTCCTCGCGTCCTCACATGTAGGGGCATCCTCGCGTGTTGTGACATGTGACATGAACAGTCACTCCCATAGATGTCACATGACAGACATGGGGGCGTTCCCTTTTGATTGACTCGCATTTCTGACCTCCATGAACAGGTCATCCTCGGAGCACTTCCGGGTTCACGGCAAAGTGGGAGGATCGGCAGATGGACGCCGTGCTGACATGTCGCCTCCTAGACTCTGGGGGAAGCGGTCACCCCGAGGAAACATTTAGGAATTTTTACATGGAATTCGGAGCCCAAGTAGCGCTCGGGGTTAACACTAAGGGGGAGGGGCAAGCAGCGGACCGATTGCTCAATTTACATGAAAGTGTTTTACAAATCATCAATTTCGGGTTCTCTGTAAATGGGGGACCCGGAATCACTTCTCCTCCCTGCTCGTGTGGTGATACCCTATACGTGTTGCACAATCACTCTTTACATGTATGAGAATGCTGTATGGAAGCGTGTGTGTGCGTGTGTGTGTGTGTGTGTGTGTGTGTGTGTGTGGGGGTGCTTGTTGTTGTTTTTATTTCAGCTTATTATATAGATTTAAACCCTTTTATCACTGTACTGTATTGCTTTAACAAGGGGGGCTAACGCGCTGCCTATGAGATAGCATTGGGCAAGTGATAGGTACTGTTTATGGGGACATTAGGGGTCTATTAGACACCTAATCCCCCTTCCCCCCCCGCCCTCTGCTTCAGCCGATCGATGTGTTCAATCAGATGTCTATTCAGCTCTGCAGATGGAACTTTCACATCTCTGAACTTGGAGATGTTTCGAGCCGAGCGCTTCCGGGATCCTCAAATCCGCTCTGAATTGGTGCTGACGGGACGCACCGATACTGATTTTTCGGTATTGAGCACCAATATTTATATTTCGGTACTTGACGATACCGGTACTTATGATAACATGGAGCCGGCTTTCCAGGCAATCAGGAAGCTGGGCAGCATGTCATTACACGCTGCCCTGCTTCCTGATTGGCCGGGAAGCCGGCTCAATGCTGAATGGCCGGGAAGCCAATCAGGAAGCCGGGCCACGAGTCATTACTCGCAGCCCAGATTCCTGATTGGCTGGGAAACCGGCTCTATGTTCCGTTGCGCCACTGAGATTTCCTCCGACCAGAAGTTCCGGTATCAGGGGTAAGTATCGGAGCATTTGGACAAGTACTCGCCCAAATACTCGGTATCGGCACCAATACTAGTACCGGTATCAGTGCATCCCTGGTGCTGACACTGTCCTTCCTTCTGTAGGGGGGCTACTTGTGTTCCC